TCGATGGGAAGTGGAGACCCAGTGACCAGCAACAAAGAGCCGTCCTGAGAAGGCACCACTGCAACCACCTGGAACCTGCAGCCTTAACTTCACACCGGGTTCCAGCTGGCCTAGCAGTATTTCTAGAGCCTGGGATTTGCATAAATAAAAGCTAAGTCCAAGCTCTGGATTGCTCTTGGATGTTGAAAAGAGTCTGAACCAAATTCAATGCTAAAATACAGCGTTTAGCAATTACAAAACCCCAGGCACAGCACAGAGGTCCTTGTTTCAGACAGCAGCTTCAGCTACCACCTGTGACCCACCTCTCATCATCCAACAGGAGTCACCACAGGGTGAAGCAGCAAGCTGGAAGTGAGCCAGCGTGATCCTTAGGAAAATCCTGCAGAATGGAGCTAACCCTTCCAGCTCGTCCCTACATACTCACTGCTGCCAGAGTTTTACGACATTCCTTGTAACTTTCTTTTTAGGAGGGCAGATAAGCTCCCACTTGACTATTTTAATTCAAAGTGAAAGAGAAAGAGAAAAACAACATTTACAAGTGCCCAGAACAGTGTTAGTCCTTAGAAAATGTAATTTAATCTGTACATGAATACCAGTTGTTTACAGTGTATTATTATGCCCATTTTAGTAATTTAGAACATGAAGTTCAGAAAGGATCAGCAACCTGCCAGAGGTCACAAAGTGACAAGTGGCAAGAACTGCCTCAAATCCTGTTGTCAAATGAGCTAATGAGTGAGTAAATGAAAATGAAACTGAGAGGCAAAGCAGGGACTCTCATCAGATCTGTGTGATCGCAGAGCCTCTGGTTCCCTCCCACATGGGCCCTCCCAAACAGGACAGCCTCACTAGGTGAGCAAAACCTGGGAGCACGAGGAACATCCTGCAACTGACAACACTAGGCCTGAGTCCTTTGGGGACGAGAGATGCTCCCTGAGCCGCTTTGGAGCTCTGGCGCTGTGTGTAACTTATGCCCGACTCTGTACGCCAAGGAGAGGGGGGCCCACTTAACCTCTCTGAACCCAATGGTGCTTGGCACAGAGTCAGTGTTTGGAATCACCTGCTGAAGGGATGGAGGGAGGAAGGGAGAGAGGGAGGGCGAATAGGTCACAGCTGAAGCAGCGCGACAGCAGACATTAGGGCTGTCTGTTTTTCTGGCCAATTCCACTGCCATCAATTTGAGGGGTATAGAATCAGAGAGGGAAGGAGGTTCCTTTTCTTGGGCTACACCTCAGGAAACATGCTCTTACTGCTCATTTTCTTAACCTCGTCCCTCAGCAGTCAGTCCGTCCACATCCCTAGAGGCAGACTGAGACAGCACTTCCGAGCATGGTGGAGAGACCTTGTTAAAAGCTAAGGGCCTGAGGATCTGGGGGCACAGCCTGGGCAGACAGGCCACAGCGCAGCCGGAGACCACAGCTCCGTCTCAGCTTCTGCCTCACTTGAAGTTTTCCCCTCCCGGGGTCCTGCCCTAGTTTGGGCTTTGTTCTACTTTCCTGAAAGTAACTAAGAGAAAGAACTCAAGAGCCCAAGAGAACCATGGGGTTGGCAAGTCCAAACCCCTAGGAAGGGCCCATTCATCCATTCATCCAGGGTGTTTATTCTTCAGTACTTGAGGACCAAGAGTACATTTGTCCAAAGACAGAAAAAAAAATCCATGAAGTGCCTGGTCCACAGTCAGTTAGAGCAGGACTGCTATATTCGTGACTGAGGTGTTCAAACAGCTACTGAACTGCCATGATGCTTTTCATTCTCCAAGGGATGTCCAGTCAAATGAGCAGCAGCTCCATCGGGGGCTGATTTCAGTCACATTCAGGACCTCTCAGCTGCCTGCACACCAACTTCCTGGAGACACCAGGCGTGGCCTCGGCATTTTATAACTCCTTTGATAGGTGCCTCCTACCAAAGAACCAGAAAAGAGGTCTGGCCTCACGGAACCCAGCCACCACCCCAGGAGCCAGGAAAAGACAACTCCCCCTCCACCCGCCCCAAATAAAAGATCCCACTTGCTGGGAAGCAGAGGGAGTAAGAGGATACCAACACTCACAATGAAAAAATTCTATGAAAGAAGCCGGGCTCCAAAGAGCATGTTCTGTATTATTTCATTTACAGAAAGTTCAAAATTTGAGAAAAGTCTCCCCAGGGGTTCAGAATCAAGAGGTGCTGGCCTCCGTGTGGGAAGGAGGCAATGGTAATGGGAAGACGCATGGGGGGGGGGCCTGGCAGGGCAGGGGTGGGGGCTGTGGGAAAG